CTTTGTATTGAATTGTAACTATTACCATTTCTTCTGTAAAGTGATGTAATTAACACTCGAAAATTAAGTGTCTTCAAGTTGTATAATAGGACAACCATTAATGCTAATTACAAGTTTAAGCACTATTACCATTTTTTAGTAACCTGCAGTCAAAATTGAATAAACTTGTTTTTAACAGTCAAAAATCCAGTGTCTTCACATTTTATTATATAACTTGACAACCACTCACGGTAATTACAAGTTTGAGCACTTTAATTAATTTCAGATATACAGGATTTAATATGTGTTTATTGTCAGAATTGTAACTATTACCATTTTTTCTGTAAACTGATGTAAAACTTGAATTAACACTCGAAAATTCAGTGTCTTCACGTTTTAACAGTCAAAAAATCCAGTGTATACACGTTTTATTATATAACTTGACAACCACTCACGGTAATTACAAGTTTGAGCACTCTAATTAATCTCAGATATTCAGGTTTTAATATGTGTTTATTGTCAGAATTGTAACTATTACCATTTTTCCTGTAAACTGACGTAAAACTTGAATTAATACTCGAAAATTCAGTGTCTTCACGTTGTGTTGTATAATGGACCAACCATTAATGTTAATTACAAATTTAAGCACGATTACTACTTTTTAGTAATCTGTAGTCAAAATTGAATTATTTTTTTTTTAACAGTCAAAAATCCAGTGTCTTTACATTACCAATTACTCACGGTAATTACAATTTTGAGAACGCTAATTAATCTTAGATATGCAGGGATTAATATGTGTTCTAGTTTCCTAGTAGTTCATTTGATATGTAAATTATAAATGTATATCTTCAATAAGTCCTCTTTTTTTTGTTAATGTTATGTATAATTACAATAAAATTACACTAAAGTATATTGGATTTCCTGAAACGATCTGTCAAATCGTTCTAAACCATTAATTTTCATCTCATATGGCATGATTCAAATTTAATTGAAAATTTGACATTTCGAAGTGATCGTGGTTCGAGCGCGCGGCTGCATTTTAAATCATGTTTATGCGATGTTCGTGCCGCGAATTTATAATGAAATTAAATATCCGTTTTGCTTAATTTCACTGTGCTCGCAATTTTTACTTCTTCTTCTACGGTCGACATTAAATCCGATGATTTACAATCCGATAGACATGCTCTTTCAACATATCGCAAGAACAGATTTAACAATTCCACAGATTTATTTACATTCAAATGTTTGTACAACTTTTTTTTTACTTAATTATTTTTATTAGATTGAATATAAAAATTTATAATTAATTAATTAAAAATGTGTATTTTTTGGCTCTTTCTAAGTTATAAATCAATATATGAATTACAAAAAATGAAAAATTTACAAATTTTTATCTATCTAATTTATGTAAGTTTTTTTACAAAAAAAAATATAATAGAATATTTGCAGAGAATTAAAAAATATTGAAAAAGTCACAAATTTCACACAATACAATAATAATATATAAATTGCAAAAAATGTAAAGAAATAATAACAAATTACAGATATAATTTTGTTTTATCTATCTAAAATTGACATTATGTAAGTTTGTTACAAAAAAATATAGTAGAATATTTGTAGAGAAAGAGGTTAATATTAAGTGTTTGACATGTATAGTTCTTTTGATGTAAAGACTGATGTATTGCGAGTGTGGGTGTATAGTGTTTAGAACCTTTTTGGTAGCTCACGATGGGGTGTCTCCTAAACATGGTCCGGGGTTGGATTCACACTTACACAACAATACTTCGACTTGATTCGTTGTTATTGTTATAGGTTTTATCTGATTCGAGAATTGACGTACACCGCTTGACATCCTTTTAATTCAGTTTAAGTTCGTAGATGGCGTCAACGACGACGACGATGATGGATGACATTTGCCACGTCAATGTCATCCATCATAGTCGGCTGCGGTTTCGTTGCGCAAGCAAGTTCGCCTCCGCCTCCGTTTTTGTGAATAATTGAAAACGGATTGCGTCTCGTGCAATTTGCAATAAAACAAAGAGCGCTGTCAAATCGCAGGAATGTGCGGCAGGAACGAGCTCCGTTACGGCCTTAACATTCCTTGCCGGAACGTTTAGAAAGTCGCACGACTGTCTCACGACGACCGCGACTATGAGGACCAAAAAGGGACTTCCCCTCCGGGCGATACGCTAGAAGGATGCAAATCTTTATTTCTCTTTCAAAAAAAAAATGGCGAAACAATCTCCAGAGGTTCCCCCCAATTTAAAATAAATTAGTCTCCGCGGAGCGCATTGTCATAAATCTCTTCCGTTCCTCCGGAATTTATGCAACAAAAGACCCTCGCGGGGAACTAACGATCCCCCGTTTTACCACCCGCCGATATCCGCGGGAGATCCGCAGCACCCGAAAATCCCATAAAAAAAGATGAGAGAAGACTGTGGTGGCTCGCAAGAAGAAGAAGATGATGATGATGAAGAAGAAGTAGGAGGATGCGAAAAATGAATGCAGAAATGGGTAGAAAAGCTTCGCAAATTACTTTTTTGAAATATAGTGGTAGTCGTCCTAAAGTGGAGGAAGAATTAAGTTATTTTCTTCTTGTGAATAGCAGTCTTTTGAAACGCCACATCCTTAAATCAATCGTTTACTTTAGCAAAATTGATTTTCGTTATTGGCACGATCTTCTTAGAAACGTCAATTTGTTAGATAACAAATGATTCCTACTGTTACGTAGATTTTAACATTTTCTTTAAACTAAATTTTCATTATTGACAAAAGGTTATGTCAATAATGAAAATTTAGATCAATTAAGATCACAAAGCTGGGATCAGATTGTAATGTTGTTTAGATTTAACTTTTGGATTAAAGTTAAGTATTTTATATCAAATACTTTGCTTAGGTTGATTTCACAAAAGTCTTGTTTGATAATTTCTTCTCAGAAACGTCAATTTGTTAGATAACAAATGATTCCTACTGTTACGTAGATTTAAAAATTTTCTTTAAACTAGATTTTCATTATTGACATAACCTTTTTCAATTAAGATTACAAAGCTGGGATCAGATTGTAATGTTCTTTAGATTTAACTTTTGGATTAAAGTTAAGTATTTTTTATCAAATACTTTGCTTAGGTTGCTTTCACAAAAGTCTTGTTTGATAATTTCAAATATCAAAATCTTCTCAACGTCAATTTGTTAGATAACAAATGATTCCTACTGTTACATAGATTTTAACATTTTCTTTAAACTAGATTTTCATTATTGACATAATCTTTTTCAATTAAGATCACAAAGCTGGGATCAGATTGTAATGTTCTTTAGATTTAACTTTTGGATTAAAGTTAAGTATTTTATATCAAATACTTTGCTTAGGTTGCTTTCACAAAAGTCTTGTTTGATAATTTCAAATGTCAAGATCTTCTCAGAAACGTCAATTTGTTAGATAATGATTCCTACTATTAAGTAGATTTTAAAATTTTCTTTAAACTAGATTTTTGTTATTGACATAACCTTTTTCAATTAAGATCACAAAGCTGGGATCAGATTGTAATGTTCTTTAAATTTAACTTTTGGATTAAAGTTAAGTATTTTATATCAAATACTTTGCTTAGGTTGATTTCACAAAAGTCTTGTTTGATAATTTCAAATGTCAAGATCTTCTCAGAAATGTCAATTTGCTAGATAACAAATGATTCCTACTGTTACGTAGATTTTAAAATTTTCATTAAAATAGATTTTCATTATTGACATAACCTTTTTCAATTAAGATCACAAAGCTGGGATCAGATTATAATGTTGTTTAGATTTAACGTTTGGATTAAAGTTGACTTTAAGTTTAGTATTTTATTAAAATACAATACTTTGCATAAGCCGGATTCACTAAAGTTCGACTTGAAAATATAGTACAGAAAAATAATTGTTTCACTTAAAAGAGCGAAAAATCTTTTTCGAATCTTCGAATAGTCCGGTTTCAAATAGGAATATTGGCAGAACCGAAATATGCGAAATATTGCTGTATTCTTATGATCTAATTAATATTCTTGCAGTTTCAAGTTTAAAGATTAATTTACATAAATGTGACTGAATAAGTAATGTATTATTTGGTAACACAAACATCTTCAAGATTAAATGAAGAAGTTAATTTTAATTTTTATTACAGATTCCGATTAGATTTAAATTATCTTCGGTAATTAAAGTTAGGTAAGAAATACATTGATATTGAACATGTTAGATAATCTTTATTACTGATTTACTGGTGATATAACCCAATAAGTAATATAATATGTATGTGTGTTCTGTGAATTTGATTGTTAGTATGACTAAGGTATAATCCGTATGTAAAGTTAAGAAATAGATAAAATACAGTGATTGATATGGAATATGTTAGGTAATACGATCCTGGTACTAATAAGTGGATTGGGGTAAATATACGGTTTAAGCCTAAAAAAGCGTGATAATCTATTGGATGTCGTCTTCTTATCAGTTAATTGAATATCAAGGTAGGTAATCCGATGATAAAAATAGAGGAGTCATTGATGTTCGGTGGTGAATCACAGCGACACCGGGTCCCCAGGTGTTTGATTCGTTTTTTATGCAGATGACTTGAACGGTCTTGTCGTTGGGGAGGACGAAGGGATGTCGGAGGCAAGGAGCAAAAGAATGTGACGATATATGCGTGAAATAAGATCTTTTCGTGTCCGGAGGTGGAGGAGAGAGTGCAAGAAAGAGAAAAGAAGATCGGGCGAAGACATTCTCGGAACGCGCGATAAAAATTCTGAGAGGGTTGTTAATACCAGTTTCAACACTTCGTACTGTCATCTTGGTCTTCGCGCGCGGTCTCTTCGCATCTATAACTTCATCCGGTTCCAGGTGTCGGCGTTCAGATGGCGCACGCGGCTCCAAGAAGAAGAGAAGTGAAGAGTGAGCAGCCGCACCGGACTCGGGCTCTCTCCATCCTCGTGGACCTCTTAGTCGATTGTCTACTGTGTTTAAGTCAGCGCGCGCGCGCCCTCCGCGAACTATGTCTGCAACAGTCGGTGTTTTTTGAATAGAGTAAGATCAGTAAATCGAAGAATAGAGAAAACCAGGAAACGATCTCTAAAAGGGTTGACGCTCGAAGGAAGTCGACAAATCCTTCTCGCCGGTTTGGAGGGAGAACCTAAGATGCAAACGGAGAAGAACGAGGAGATGTCACCGAAGGACTTCAACAACTTAGCAACGGCGATGCTGCAGGAGAACCTGCTGCAGCGGTCCATCCACAACGTGGCGCTGACCCTTCAGAACGCAATGGTGAATTCCCTCCATCAGGCGGCACTTCTGCCGCCGACCTCTGCAGCAGCCACGGCCCTCAACCTGCAAGCCCTCGAATCGTATCTCGCCTTGCAGCGACTCACCATCCCCAACAACCGCATCGATATCCTCAAGATAGCGACCAACAGTGCGAAGATCAACGAGACTTCCGAGGACACCAAGAACTTGACCGAAGACGTGGACCTCGCCGAAGAGGTCGAGGAGGATCTAGCTCTGTTGGACAGCGAAGACATACCATTGGAGACGAACTACGCTATTTACCCAGCGACGACGTCCGTCGCGGCTGCCGCCACCTCGACCACGCCAGCAGCTGGCGTCGCGACGCCGAACAGGCAGAAGGGCACTCGGCCCAAGAAACAGTTCATATGCAAGTTCTGCAGCAGGCAGTTCACGAAAAGTTACAACCTTCTGATACACGAGAGGACGCACACGGACGAACGGCCCTACTCGTGCGACATCTGCGGCAAAGCCTTCAGACGACAGGACCACCTAAGAGATCATAGGTAAATATTATCACCACGCACTCTCCATTGCGCCTATCTTACTTTACCACATCGCGCGACTTTAGACTATCCATTATTCTACAATAAACTCACATGCGTCTAACCTAAACCTCACATTACATGCATACGCTTGTCAACAACATTACACAATTATTTAACAATCAATTTTACATTTTTAAAATCATTATATAAACAAAATACCTTTGAGTAAACTATACTTAATTCCACATCACTTTATAACTTACTTCAATAATTAATTATAAAATGATAATTAAACAATACAATTTTCCTACAACAATTTTTATATAATAAACTAAACTTTAAAACAAGATATTCAATTTATTTAAACTCAATATTTTACTCAATTTCACTAAAACATTCAACAAATGTATTATATACAAAATAGCATTATTTAAAGTATAGATTCTAATTATAACACAGATGTCGCTATATATTTTTTTTGATATTATTGTAGGCAATACTTTGATCATGTACTGATACAGTATATTTTTAAATGGCCATTGTTTATTGACAAGAACACAGAGAAAAAACAGGTGATCAATATTAATAACTCGGAACGGAATTGCAAATGATATATCTCATACTAAATAGTACAAAGGCAAAGCGTAAAGTAGCCTGTGTAATGTATTAATGTCTATGCGCATAATTCATTTCAAATGTCAGATTTGACACTGCACGCCTTAATCTGTCACTCGAATAAAATGCCCATGAATTTATTCAAACGAAACAAGAAAAATACAATAAAAAACGAATTGACATTACAATGATGTGATGCAATTGCTTTATGTTTTATTCTTGCTTTTATTATTAACAAAGTCTTATTCTAATATTCATTAAATTTACAATATTTAAACCAAAGTTTAGTAAAACTAAAGAAATCGAAGTTAATGATTAAAACAATTAATTACTGAAGAAAATAAATAAAGTAAAAATAAAATAAATTGTCATTTTAAATATTTCTTACGTTATTCATTTTTAATTGATTTTCGTTCATTCTTTGCCTCTTCCGAAATATTCAAATATTAAAGGGTGTCATCAATCATTGGTGCCGGTTTCGGTCTCAAAGTTTTAAGATACACACACCTGCAGCCTTTTGGGTTAGTTTTTTTTTACTTCTACGAGTAATTTTATACACCTGTGGTAAACGTTATCTTGTATAGATTTTAACACTAGATCTTTTCTTTTCTTAATATCATAACGAAAATCAATTAGTTAAACTTCATCAGTTTTCTACAAAAAATATATTTTTTTCTTAAAATTTTAATTAGTTGAAGACTTAGTTTTCTTTCATTTACATAATTAATTATATTTAAGTATTTTGAAATACACTACTTAAATGTTATAGTTAAAATAAGTTTAGGTTATAGGAATTTTGTGGTAAAGTAAACAGCGTTTGCCGTCGACTATTACTGTAATCAAAATTTAGTCACGGAACGGCGTTGACATTATTACTATAATTTTCTAAATGTCAGATACGTGTTTGAAAATCGGAGTGTCCATTAACACCTCCTTTATCGATATTACGCTATATAAGCATGGGAAAATGGATGATCTTTGTTACGTGAAAAAAAAAAATTTTTTTGAATTTAATATATGTAATTATTTTGAAAATGTAATTACGTAAATTTTCGAATCGATCAATTTTGCTTATGACATTGTATTTACATAGCAGATGTCACCTGTCAATTTACTTATTTCCACCTGCATTGAAATTTTACGTATTGCGTGCAAAAAGAAACAAAGAAGTAATCTGAATATGTCAATTTTGACATTGAAATGACAACTATTAACCCAAAAGTTATGTCATTGACAGCTGTTTGACATTTTAGTTGAAACTTTAAGTATATAATTAGTTTTTTTTATCATTTGCTATTTAATTTTTATTAAAAAATATTAGTAAGTATAATTATTATAATCTAACAATTATAATATAATTTTTTGACAATCAAAACTAAATTACCTGTCATTCATTTATGACGTTTTCTTGACATTTGACGTGTTGTTGGGAACTGTCAATTATGAATATTTGAAATGAAATCGGATATATTATTTGCTTTGTAATATTAACAAGAGTTCCGGCATTGAATTAATATAACTTTTTGACAATCAAAACTAAATTACCTNNNTCAATTATGAATATTTGAAATGAAATTTGATATATTATTTGCTTTGTAATATTAACAAGAGTTCCGGCATTGAATTAATATAATTTTTGGACAATCAAAACTAAATTAGCTGTCATTAATTTATGACGTTTCGTTGACAATTGACGTTTTCTTGACATTTGACGTTTTGTTGTCAATATTATCTTAATTATGAATATTTGTAATGAAATTTGCTTTGTAATATTAACAAGAGTTCCGGCATTGAACCATTAATTTCGCTCGTGGAAATGATATAATAAATTACAGGAGACTCATTACCACTATTGATGGGATTTATACACGAAAAAAAATCAATTTACAAGCGGAGAGAAATAAATTATAAGATTACAGTCATTAATCGGGTGGAAGTTAAGTTAAATGAGCACGGGCTTTCATGTACATCGAGCATGTTCCTCTCCTCAAACAAGCTGCGATCTTCGATTCGATCCCTCTAATCGTCAATTAAAATCCAATTTATGTAATCCTTGAACGGTGTTTCGACGACAGCGCGAAAGTGTTAATGAGATTACGTTTTCTCCTCCACCATTTCCATTAAAAAAGAAACACACGTAACTTATTACTTTTAAAAGCTTATTTGCAGAAATATTATTATTATTGTGATTCTTCATGCATCTTTATGACTTCATATAAGGTACAAAGAGTCGTCGGTTGGTAAAACGACTTCCTAGTTGATTCAAACACAATGAGGAGAGCAATGGGAATGCCTCGTCGTTATGAATCGGCCGCGCCTTTTGTTTCTTCCTTCTCCTTTGCCGCTAACTGTTTCGAACTCTTTGTCCGAACGACGAAATTGAAGAACGCAAAAAAATAATAATAAAGGAGTAACAAATAAATATAGGATAGGAATGGGAAGAGAGCATTAAATTCTGAGCGTGATGCCATTTGTCATCGTGGTTGGTTTTAAAACACAATATGGTAATGCCGAGATGTGTGTTCGCACGCCCGCGAATAAATTACGCTCGTTGCATGCTGATGATCAAGGGGAGAAGACGGGAGTGAGGATGGTTGTTAGGTATGAGAGAAGAGAGTTGTCCCAAAGACGCGGAGTAAAGAGTATGAACGGACGATGCTTGGATTCACTATGCATATGGGATGATTAATGCTAATGCGATCTCAGATTGATGGTCGGGGAAATGTCAAAAGTCAGGTTCGATGTCCTCCGACAACTGAAATAATTTGTCGTGTAATTATTGTCATGGAAACTTTACCATTGTTGAGTTCTAATTCATGGTGGAATTATCGATGATCTAATGAGATCATTTGTCATAACATACCACAACTTAATTTATAGTTTATACTATCATCATTATTTCTCATTTTTTTTTTGACAATCAAAAATAAATTACTTGTCATTAACTTATGACGTTTTGTACCAAAACTATTGTAATTTTGTATTATAACTTCGATCGTTCAATGATCTAGTGAGATCATCTTTGAAATCATACCACAACCTTACATAATAGTTCAAAATCAATATTATCCATACAATTATATTACAGACATTATTACCAAAATTATTGTAGATGTATAATTGAACTTCGATACATCAATGATCTTATGACCACTGTTTTAGAATCATACCACAACTTGACATAAAACTTCAAAACTATTATTATTCATGCAATTATGGTGAAAAGGTTATTACCAAAACCATTGTAGATTTATAATCCAAAACCATTGGATTCATCAAGTCATTTCTCAAATCATACCACAACTTCACAAAATACTTCAAATCATTATTATTCATACAATTATGACAAAAAGTGCATTACCAAAACCATTGTAGATTTATAATTGAACTTCGATTCATCGATATTCTTATGAATTCATTTCTTAAATCTTACCACTACTTCACATAATACTTCAAAATCATTATTATTAATACAATTAACGTAAAAAGAGCATTACCATTCTAGATTTATAATTGAACTTCGATTCATCAATGATCTAATGAAGTTATTTCTTAAATCATACCACAACTTCACATAATACTTCAAAATCATTATTATTCATACAATTATGGTAAACAAAGCATTATCAAAACAATTGTAGATTTATAATTGAACTTCGATTCATCACTATTCTTATGAATTCATTTCTTAAATATTACCACAACTTCACATAATACTTTAAAATCATTATTATTCATACAACTATGGTAAACAGAGCATTATCATAACCATTGTAGATTTATAATTGAACTTCCATTTATCAATATTCTATTGAATTAATTTCTTAAATCTTTCCACAACTTCACATAAAACTTCAAAATCATTATCTTTCATACAATTGTGGTAAAACGTGCAATATCAATACAATTGAATATTTATACTCATTTTTCAAATCACATCATAACTTCACATGGTTTTTATTCATATAATTGAATTTGTATCCATTAATGATCTAATTAGTACAATATCATTATATTTTTAAGAGTTTTGATGATCCAATAAGTTATTTTTTCTTTCATATCAAAATTGTTCACATTCACATAATTTACTACTAAATCATTACTAATGTTTTTTACCAAAAAATAATACTCTATAATCTAATGACAATATTTCAATTGTTATCTTTTCATACCAAAAACTGTCAATAGTTTATATATGTATTCATTTTCATCCAAAATTAAGTTGTTAAGTTGTTGATCTAATAACGTTTATTTTTTCTTCTTCGTCCGACTACTGCTTTAAATTATACCACTAAATCATTTTAAAATCTAGCCGACGGGTCTTTTGGTAGTTCTTAAACGGCAATCATCATTGTTATTGTTTGCATTCTTTTGTATTTCTTAACTCACTTTTCAATCATAATATTTATTTTTCATTGATTGTTAACATTTACCTGCAGGATATTATAAAATATATTACAACAATATTTCAATTTTTTCAATGTCTGCTTAAATTGGTAACTTCTTGTATATTGAAAATATATAAGTTTTTACTATCTCAATAATAACATTTGCGGATGTAAGTAATTTATCGTCTTGTCTTGTCTTACATGAAACTTCACATCCAGTTGGATAACAGTAAACAATGTTCTATTAATAGATAATTAACGTTATGCATATTGCTCAATGAAAATTAATGAAAATACATATTTCTTAATTATTCTCAGCTTTCATTGAACCATCGAACGTGGGACGACCATAACTTACATGTTTCATTTATAATTAACTCTACATCATAAATCAATAACATTTAGCAATCATTTTCTGCCTTTTCCTACAAGATTATTGTATATAAAAAAAAATCTAAATTAATTTAGCAAAACTTATTTTTGGCAATTGCTTAATTTCTAAATGAACTTCGAATCATAAATCAATAAAATTTAATAATCATAATTTTTTTTTTAAAATTCATTGATTTTTTATGTTAATACTTTTATATAAGATTTTATTATAAAAACTTAAAAATTATTAATTTTTAAAAACTTTTTGACAAGTTGTCAACATTACAAATTGACAGTAAAAGTGACGTAAAACGATTCTAAATTCAATATAAAAACGTATTAAAAAAAAAATTGAAATTGTCACTGTGGACAAATCTGGTATAAACGTATTGAATGACATAAAAACATACATTGTGTATACATTCTATTAAGATATGTGAGGTGTTTTTTTTTCTTCTTTATGGACTCAATAAAAAGATTATTGTGATTACTTGTATAAAAATATGAATAAATCTATTCACTGTTTCGAATTGTGACGGAGATATTAAGCGTACAAAATATGACGGACATAATTCATCCGGCTAATCCGTCGGCAACGCGCAGGTTGACTTACGAGATTTTTTAATAGTTATCTTCGTTCATGGTAATTCCCCTTCATCGGATGAAAAGCCTTTATGCATTCGGATAATTGAAAAAAAAGAAAAGAAAATGGGGAACAAAAGAACAAAAAAGACTGGGGGACAAAACAGTTGCCGTCCAGACGTTTTGATTTATCCGGTTTCAAGACTTTCAATGATCTTTCGCAGAAAGCGCGTTTAAAGAAAGAATAAGACAATGGATTTTATAATGCGAACATTCAGAATTGATTAATTTAACACTTACTCAATAATCTTTCAAAGAAAACGTATTTAAAGAAATAATGAATTTTATAATATTAATGGTATTTTCTTGAAGAAACTGTAAATTTTAAACATCATTAAATATCTCGTTTTACATAGTTTCTTTGGTTTTGTACAGTTCACCACAATAATTATATAATTTCTGAATTTTTACCTGATTTAGTTACATACAATTTTATTACATTTTTTTCAGAATTAAAGTCAAAATTTCAATTTTATTCGCTTTTCTACTCATAAATTTTTCATGTTAATGTTATGTTATTTTCTGTTAATTTTTTCTTTACAATTTGATATAAATCGTGTAAGTAACACATATTTTTACTTCTTTAAAGTTTAAAAGTTGAAAGTTTTGTTGATTTTGCTTCTTGCAACGAAATTTTTTGTTTTAAGGATGTTAAGAGTTTTAAAACTCGGTTTAATTACTAATTACCACTAATTATCCTTACTAGAAATAGCTTTTAAATGAGAAATTTTAATTGCTTTTAGGCGTAAACGAGGAGAACCTCAAACGTCAAAAAAAGAATATTTAATGTTATTTTCACAACACTCAAAAAAACAAAAATTAAACAGACAGAAGACGAAAAAAAAATTAAACACAAATTTTTATTTTTTTTCCTTTTTGTCCATTCAAATTTAGAATGCAAAACAATGATGTTATGTAACAAATACATGGATTACGATTGAAATAGAAAATTAAGTATAATATCTTAATAATAGATGATTGAGAACTTGCGAAAAACGAAATTTGTTACCCAACATTTTTTGGACATTGAAATGTCATGAGTTGTCGAAATGCGTTTGGTAATAATGGAGTTAATTGAACGGATCTATTATGGAGAGAATTTGTAATTTGAGACAAAAAAATAGTTAATTAAAAACGAGTTTAGGATATAATTAATTAATTTCGCCATTTCTATAAATAACTATAAGTAATTACTTGGAAATTGCGCAACGATTGTATTGTTTTCAATTTTTTAATTGAGATTCCAATTAAATTTGAATCGCGAATTGAAAGAAGGAAAAATATTGTTATTTTTTTCACTACAATTTGAATGCCATTTCGTGTAAATCGTGTTCTCTTCGTTTTGTTTTAAGAAACGTCTTTGAATATAGAAAACAGTCTTGATAATCTGTTTACTGGTTATACTGGTTTATGTGAGGACTGGTTTCAAATCAATTTTGGAACCTCCAGTTTAGATTCTTTCTTTGTCCATGAAAACTTTTTTTAAAAATTTATTTTTGAAATTATTTGTTAGTATTTATTGCAAATTGATAAACAGAATCTGATGATTCTAGCATGAAAATTTACTTAAACTACTTTTATACTAAGTACAGATACCTCGCTTCGATTAGTCCGGTTTGAGAAAAAAACACTAAATTTTAGTACACAATTTTTGTCCTATTTATTGTTATACAGTTTTAAACGTCTCGATTAGTCCAGTTTTTAATAGTAGATTGATTCAATTTTGAAATATAAATATTTTCTAGATAAATAATATAAAAAGTATACATTTCTAATTGGTTAAAAATTATGTAGAGACAAAATTTAATTGTGTTTTTTTAACTGAAACATAAATTACTAATTATTCTCTAAATTTGTTGTGATTTTTTATATATAACTATAAATCTTCTGAAATAAATGGAAGATTTATAGCTTTATATATCAATTTTAACAGTTTTACAAATGTTACAGGGTTGTTATGAACACCGTTTAGTTGTCTCGCAACAGTTGCTATGATAGAACAACAGTTGCTAAGCGTAACAATTATGTAATTATGTATCCTATTTAACCTGAAAGTTACGAATGCACACCATGATCTATGGTTAAGGAAGGGAATAATAATTGCTCACAGATTTAGTTTCCGACGGATTCCAACGTTTTTACCTTGCATGTGCACATTAACAAAATAAAATCATTCATTCGACTTTTTGTGTCGACAATTTTTGTGTAATATTGAATTATTGATGAATTAAAAATTTGGTGTTTATAACTTAAATGAGAATAAACTGAGTCTACAGCATTAACAAATTAATTAAACCTAATATTTTATGCTCACTATTATTAATATGAATTATGTGACAAGTGTAATGACAGCTGTCATTTCTGTTTCAACGTCATCAACTAATAGTTGGTACATCTGATAACTATGTCTACTATTACAAATAGTATAGATGTAGTTTATAATTAAGATATCAATTATTTCATTGATTTATTGCATATATTCTTAATTTATTATATAAAGTATTTAGTAAATGTTTCAATTTGTTGAGGATTTTAAACTTATTATTAAATATTTGAAAGTTGTGTCGACTTTCATAGATGAAAAAATGTAATTGTAATAAATGTATAGTATAAACGTTTTAATGTTTTGGTATTATGCACTAATTGATAAATATTTGACAGCGCTGTCAATCATATAACATGCATCACCAATCAAACAACAATAAAGCCTTTAAAGTATTGCATTGTGTGGAGGAAGAATGAGGTGCTCTCACATTATCAAGGATTTTAGAAAGGATACATATTAAATCAGCGAGTTCAGGTTTTTTTTCTTTGCTTCACGCGGGGTGTTAATAAATTTGTTTGGAGCATGTAATTAGGCTCCGTTCGCCTGGAACCATAAAAAAGGAGCTTATTGAATTAGCGAAATGCCTTTCTAAAGCAACCAAATTGAATACGCGAGGAGGTGGAGAGACGACATAAAAAAAGAGGATGCTGCATGCTAGTGTGTATAGAAGTATAGACGATGATGAAGAAGAAGAAGAAGAAGAAGAAGAAGAAGGTTGCTCAGCCCGAAGCTTTGGTGGGCGTTGACTCTCTGTCAACCCATCAATTCCAATATCTACCAGTGACAAAGTAACGCAAAACCGCAATCTACCTGACACGCATTAAAACGCAGAGAGAAATAATAAAAAAAAAACGAAAATCTTTGACAGTTGGAATAAGGCACGGACAATGTTTTTTTCGGCGTTGTTTTCATGTCCCATTCTTCGTTCGCTGTTCTTGTTGTTTCTCTTTCCTCTCCACTGTCTTTTTTTACTTTGTTCGGACACGCCTCAGACCGTGTGCTCTCCGCCTTCGTTTCAATTAGTTCAACGAGATTTTTATAATGTTAACAACTAAATTATATTATAAAAATAAAATAAATAAAGAAAGCCGCACGCATTTCATCATCATTCTTCGGCGCTGACCACGTGCTGGTAATGGCTGTACGAAGATGAAGAAAGAGAGTCTTATTAACGTCTGGATGGAGAAGAAAGGCCCGTTTTGTGTTTTTAACTGTCGCCAATAAAATTTGTCCGGCGAATGCGTCACGGCCGTTTTGGCGGTTCTCTCTCCATTCTTTGTTGTTGT